AGAGCACCATGGTCTTGTCTTTGACAGGGGAAATATTAAGGATGCCTCAAACAAGCGCGACATGCAGAAATACCTCCATAAGTGTAGCTACCACGAGGAGAATGAGCCCTACTGTCCAAACTTCCGTCTGGGCTACATCGCAGAACAAGCAAGAGAGAATTTCACTGAGCTCTGCAGGACTGTGAGTATGAAACCTGCACTGCAAAATGAGCCACTGGTTCCATTCATAAAGAATATACATAAAAAAAAAATCATTCCTTTATCTATTTTTTTTGTTTGATCAATAGAAATGGCAGCTGTAATCAACAGTTAGCCTGAAAATGGCCTGACAGATCATACAAAATTCATAAAAGACAACATAATGATCACATGCAGATAACACATACAGATAAATACACTACATAGACACCAATCAGATGTTTCATAACTGAATAAGTTATAACAGCCCATTCTTTACAAGTTCTGAGAAAAGCGAAATAATGGCAAGAATACCGAAAATCTAAACTGAAAGTCAAATACATAAAAATCGACTGAAATTAAACCTTTAAATAAAGCTTTTTCGTGTTGACATGAACTTTAAAGAACTTATGTGACACCCAGATGCTTAAACTCTGTAGCTAAACTTGTAGCTGTTACCCTGATGCTATTATATCCCCTCTATGGCCTTTTGAATGCACGACATTAACTTGAGACGTGATCAGTTTAGTGAGTCGGTAGCATGTCTCTGTCTGGTGGTGAGCAGGAAGCAGCTTGCTGTTTTGTGCCACAATGTACAGAAATCACAGCGTCACTGGTATATTGCTGGATCACTGCAGGACAAACAGAAAATGGACTGTTAATAAACAAATTCAATAAAAGTGGCTTGATAGCTGGCTAAGATATTAGAATGCTAAATTTATTATTACAACTCCTTTAATAAAGTCTTCTTCCTCCTAAATAAGACTCCATCCATGTGAGGGAATCAGGTGAGGGTAGTTTATTGATAAGCATCCTATAATGTACTGTGTCAGAGCCTTTCAAAGGTCAAGAAAACCAGCCCCTGCAGGATGACGCTTACGCTGATTTGATCTCTCCCAATAGTTTAGTGAGCTCTGGATTTAAATTGCACTGGATGCAAGATGCAGGTTAAAGGACTCTGAGCTCCGACACCTGCTCCTCCACCACCATGGATACATCAGGCAGAATGCTCGTCAGCCTGGGCTCAGGTTTTAAAAATGAGTGATGCAAGTTTACATGTATGTGAAAACCCCCCCTGAAAGGCTGATGATATTTGTGATAGCTGAAGCCAAGGACTCCTTTAGAAAGAAAGCATTACACCCAGAGCTCAGTAAAATCTTGTGCAGTCTTAGTGAGTTTCAACAGCGTCTTCTTTAAATTCCTTTTCTATTCGACCACATTTACTAAAACTGCTTTGATGGTCCATTATGTTAGACACAAAGCACATCCTTCTTCTACTTAATTAATTTCAGTAAATCTTTATTCAGCTAGAAAGCTCCTTTTATCTTTCTTCCTTGTCAGCATCTTTTTGAATTTTATGCCTTAATTTTCTTTAATAAATATGCTCCTGTCTTTGTCTCGCACATTAATTTAATTCCTCTTTATTAGGTGTGTTTGAACATTTCCTAGTTCACTTTGAGGATTTCTAAAGTTATCATTTTATTTAAATAATTTGTTTGAGGGCTTTCTAGTGAAAATGATTAATAATCCAGTGATGTGGTTGAATATCTGTGGTTAAATGCTGAAGATTAAAGCAACCTGTGTTTGTGAGGAGATTCTCATTGTATAGGACTCTTTAATTAATTCTGTTAGATGCACATTTTCATAATTCTCTCAAAGAATTTCAAATGTTCCTGTATACAAAATGTATATTTAGGTCGGCTGAAAGCATAATTTATTTAGCATTCTATAAGTATTCTTTAGATTTACTATGAAATCCATTGTTAGAGAACGGTGGCTGATACAGAACAACAAGAACCAAGCACATGCAAGGTACCAGTATAATATGAGGTCTAATGCGCTCTAGGTCAACAGTGCAGTAGATATCAGATTTTTAATAACACATATTATGTCTCTGATGTTTTAAAATTGGGAGCCAGGTGTGTTAAAAGTGAAATACTATATGTCTGTATCACTGTCTGAGATGTTATCATGCTGTTGGCGCTCAGGGAGGAGTGATCGGGGTTTTCATCAACTGGAATTGTAACCTGGATCTGGATCCTTCTCACTGTAAACCCAAATATTCATTCCGTCGTCTGGACCTCCGAAAGGATCTGGCCAACTCTGGTTACTATTACAGGTTAGCACGAACACCCAGCTCTGATTTATCTGACGTTTCTGACTGTTATGGTCACTTTGTCTTGGGGTGAGTTTGCCGGTCTTTCAGTGTGATTCGTGTGTACAGGTTTGCCAAATATTACAGTAAGGATGGAGTAGAATCTCGGACACTGATCAAGGCTTATGGCATGCGTCTGGATATCATAGTTCACGGACATGTAAGTAGGTTCCTCATCACTACAGTTTACAACCTGCTCACTGAGGGGACTGCTATTATACTACTGCATGCTGTTTTTATGCAGGCTGGTAAATTCAGTCCGATTCCAACCATCATCAGCACAGTGACGGCTATGACTTCTGTTGGGATTGTAAGTACTGACTTCTTTTCTTGAGACTTTACAGTGACGGCTAATGCTCAGTGCACCACAAACTGTCATTTTTTTTCCATTTTCATCCCCTGTAGTGCACCATCATCTGTGACTGGATCATGCTGACTTTTATTGACAAGAATGAAGTCTACAGTGAGAGGAAGTTTGACGAAGTGAGTAAAAAGCATCATTTATTCAACACATCTGGGTCCAGTGAAGGTGATAGTACTCGTACTTTATAACATACTTCTCACCTGTATTATAACTATCATCTCTGGAAGAGTTTTCTGCCTCATTGCTCTGTTTGTCTTTATAACAGTAACCTTATGGGCACACTTTATTCTTATTAAGCTGCTTAATATTTACCACTTTGAATGCGGACTCTTGTCATTCTTGTTTTTATCTTGTATACATGGTGCATGCCTGCTCATATACTTTAACCCAGTGCTTGTATGAATGTTCTTTCTTCCTCCCTTTTTTCTATCCTTTTCCTTGCTACTGTCGCCTTTGTGCTGGCTTTAGGTGATTGATTTGTGTCTGGACTCAGTGGAATTTTGATTGTTGTTGGTGCTATATGAATAAAATTGAACTGATCATTAAGCATAGAAAAGACTTTTCTAACATTGTCAACAATCTTTTTAGATTGCATTTGAACAGGGCCCTTTCCCTTTTCTATGCACCTCAATGTCCATGACCTGCAGAAACCCTCCTGCTGTTCTATATTGTGTTAACTGCTATGAGGTTGTCTTTTAACGGACTGTTTTACTACAACAGTGGAAATGCATATTTTGAGAGATGTTCTCGTCAGTAACGTCTCCAGTTACTTCTCTAAGTTCAGTGTATTTGTCTTCCACAGGTGATCAAGGAGCCCACAGAACCCATGTCCACAGAGCTCAGCTTCATCAACAGCTACGGCTCAAACCATTCGGACCTGTCAGACGGCGTGCCGCTGTGACGTCGTCAGAGTTGCCTCAGTCCTCACTGGCCTAATGCATGGACTCTCCTACACCGACCGGCTGTGGCAACAAGAGCAGCTGTTTCTCAGGTGTCTGTAACCGCTCAGTGATGGATCGGACTGCGCAGCTCTGCTGTTAGTGGGAATAAACTGAGAAAGAACCGCATCCCCGTGGCCTTGTTCTGGACAGACAGACACTTCTCTTAATGTATGTGAATAACAGCAGGTTCTGTTCATGTATCACCTGAAACCTTGATGGACCTTTACTGTTTTCCAGTGGAATGAAACCTGTTTCTGTCCAACTTGACATGACTTCAGAATATACTAACACCACATAGAGAATGTATTTATTTTCTCCGTATTAAATCGATCTACAAGCCATACAAACTATGTCCATGTATTGCAGACATTCAATCCAACAATAAATGCCTTTTATTAACTTGTGTTTCAGTCATAAGCATTCATATGGCATCATTTGTTGAATACAAAATATCATGAAATACCTTTGACCTGTGCTCTTTTACATCTGCATTATCACAAAGATAAAAACTGCGTACTGTTCTTGAGGAATCCAGATATTCTGATTCACTTCCTTTGGTCTTTCAACCTGATGTGTTCGACATAATGAGAAGATACAGGAGGAAACTGTCGAGAGATGGACGAGGAGAGCAATGAACAGTAATCAAATAAAGCAGACATTTCCCATAAAATGGTTTCCTTAACAAGATTGTGGGGAAGTGTGAATCCATCTGGACGCCTGAGAGCAATACAAATGTCAGTGGTGGAAAAAGACCTAAGACTCAAGTCTAATGGATCGATATCTGCCAAGATGGATGAAGGAGCTAGGTGGACAGCCACATGTTGGTTTGGAAATTGTGGTTTTTTTGATGTGATGGGGGGACAATTCAAAAATTATATCTTCTAGGCAAGTTGTCAAGTTAAATCATTTTACTTTGACGGTGTTAAAATTGAATATGTACTGAGAGGCTCACAACTGAAAATGTAAAGATTTTAGACACAAGCCCAGAAGTGCTCTCATTCCCTCTTTTGTCAGCCCTCATGGTCAGCATGTGTCAGTGAGAACCTCTAAGGAGCCAATCTAATTGTGCCTCAGTTCAGTCTGAAATGTGATTACTTGTCTGGGAGACACCCATCAGCAGGCAAAGTGAGTCATCTGAGGGGCAATGAGGTTAAAGTGATGGAAGTGCATGAGTTCAGTAATTACAAATCACCAAATATTTTTATCTCACATTGGATAATGGCAAAAAAAAAAAACGTATTCACATTTAGACAAAATGATTCATCTGTTCTAACAGACGAAGGTTCAGTTTGTTCAATAATTCAGTTAATGATTACGCAGCATTCAATACGGGGGTGAAGCCAAACTGTGCAAAGCCACAACAGACACATTAGCAGCCAAATGAGGATGAAACTCAATGTGACCGTTGATTAATGAAAGTCCACAAAGGAGATGGCATTAAGGATGTTTGTACTTTTTCCTTTGTGTGAGACTTGCCGTCTTCAGCCCAGTTCTGAGTGAAATCACCCAACAGCAAGAACAGACTCACAGTTCGGACACTTAAAAAAATATTTATTAACAGTTAAAATCTAAATTCATGCACATACGTAGTTGTGATGTGGCATAAAAAAAAGAATTCAAATATATCTACAGTGCACAGATTTCCAACTTGCTTCGTCCTCAGCACAGAAACAGACGTCAAGGCTGATGGAAGTGCATCACCTGGGAAAGTAAAAGTTTCAGCATTCAGTGTTCCCCAATTTCCACAGAGCACCTGAAGGCCTCTGTGGCAGACGTTACATTTAATGGCTTTTCTGGCTGATCTGAGGGCTCATAACAAGCAACCAGTCAATGGTCTCCTCCAGGAAGCTCATGTTGTAATGGGACGCTATGTTCCGAAACACCGTGATCTGCTCAGAGAAGCTCTACAGAAGGAAGAAAAAGAAAAACAAAGCAGCTCAGTGCAATGTCAACAATCATATGCCTTCATCAGTAAGCTGAATGATGCAATATGTTTGAGAGCAGAAACCTTGGCTGAGAATGTGAGGTCAAAGTCTCCAGCACATCTGCAGTAGAGGGGCATGTTCGCTTCCTTCACACCTTTACATTTGGTGCACGCCTGAAATTGCAAAAGTAACAAGGTGTGACTTAAAAAGCATGTAAGACAGGAAGTGTAACTTGAAAACAGGGATGCACAATAATACTGATATCATCACTGGTATGAGCTAATAACGGCTTTGGAATGAAATACTGGCATCGGTCTGAAGTGAATATTAAAAATGTTACATACAAATAAACATGGCAGATTTTTTTTGAAGCTGTTTTATTATATTGACTGGTAAATGTGGACATTTAAAAAGCATAGACAAACTCATATGTTAATTCCACTACACTGTAAACATATTTTATGAGTTACTCTGTTGATGGGGAAAATTTTCAGTTGTGCATGATATCCTACTAAAAACTAAACACTGCCTTATGGTATGCGTCCACAGGGTCCACGGTGCCACAATAGATTACTGACAGGTTTTCTTAAACAGGAAACAGAAACTACACATCCTACCACAATCGTACCAATCCTGGCTGTAACCGGCTGGATGAAGGCCTTTCAGTTATATTACGAAACAGTTCACAGGCGAGAAATAAATAATAAACTGTGCAGCTGCTGAATCTGTCTGGATTCTAGATGGACAATGGTTAGTTTTTCCAGAGTTTCCAGCGTTGGCCAGCAGCAGCTGGACACTCCTGATTTGCACAGAGTAGCCTGGAGCTAAACTTTATTCTCTCGTCTCTCAGAATGCATCGGGACACTACCAGAGTGCACTTCTTAGGTGCTCACATAGACAATGATTTTGACACATTGAATGACATCCTGTGGGCACGTGATATCACACTTCAACCTGCAGGGCGGAACTTTTGTGTTTCCTTTCTGGTAGTGAGTGTAAATACACAAACAGTCATCGTGTGTTCTAATGTAAGTCACAGCCAGCAAATTACATTTTTTTTTTAAAGACTGTAATCCTCTCTGAATCACGAGGGTTTTTTTTGTTGTTTTTTTGTAATTTGGAGAATCAGAAACTTTTCTTTCATGCTTCCTAGGCTTTTCACTGTACTATTTGAGGTAAAACCCATCACTACTGTTGCACCAGCACAAGAACATCACCACAAACAATACATTTAAAACTTTGGTTTGAAAGTAGGAGCCTTCATTTATATGTGAGGGCAAGTCCTGATGCTGATCATACCTGGTCTCATCTGTACTGTACTGAATATTCAGTATATCAGCACTGTTTTACTCACCAGGTCCTGCAGCGTGTAGCTCATCAGTTTCTTCTGCAGAGCTTCAACTAGAGCCATCTCAATGGAGTCAGTTTCATACTGCGCCTGGCAGTTGGAGCAGAACCACTGGGGCAGGACAGACCCATCCTGAGAGGCACACGACACAGTTCATCTCTTAGATTTCTGAATTCTAGCAGAAAATACTGAGATAAACTTCAAACTGTTATCAGGTGCTCCTCTTCTTCCGCTCAGCTCTTACCTGAGCCACTGACGGGTCCTTGCAAAGGTCGAGGTCACGACAGAAATTGCAGTGGTGGCAGATAACTTCAGGCAGGATGTAGGAGTTACACGGGTCACAGAACTGGGCTTCCTCCGAAAACTCTCCAACATCCACGAGACGCAGGAGGTCTCTCTTCAGCTTGTTCACCTGATTCACGATGTTGGCATCGAGAGAAAGCACCTGAAGTGAGAAAAGGTGGTGAGAGATTTCAATAACTGGTGCATTAGCTTTACTTAAAATTGTTCAGTGCAGCAAGACAAGAACCTACACATGACAGATGAAAAGCACTTTGAAAGGTTTGTCATTATACTGATGTACAATTACTACACCTTGAACTGGCAAGGACCTATTATGTGGGGTTTTGGTGTACCTGGCAGACATATTTGATAAACTCCAGTGCTGGGTTGTTGAGTGGTAGGTGCGAACCAGGCAGGACGGGGAACATCTCTGAGGTCTGGGTCACACTCCTGGTCCCAGTCACCTTTTTCTGGATTTTCTGGGTGATGGTGAAGAAGTTCTGTGTCAGCTCACTGGACACATATTCCTGGGAGAAGGAGATCATTCCTGTGGGAGAGAGTTTCAAAAGCTTTAAAGGTATTCCAGGAGTGCAAATGTGCAGTTTCTAAGAAACACAACAGAATTCTTTATTCGCTGAAGCAGCCTCCCACGACCATCTTACCAGGAAGAGCACTCAAGTCTCCGACCGCCTGCTGAGAAGCCTGACTGCCTCCACGTCTCTTGACTGGCGTTGCTCCTGGAGCATTACGTCTCAGCTCCTCTTTCATGCTGTGGTAGACTGCTGCAATGTAGGCTGGCAAGGAAAGGGTGCGTGTAAGAGCTGGCAGTGGTTTATACAAGGATAAGCAAAGAAAAAAATGTGATGCGTTTTTGTTTTTTTGTTTTTTTATTTACCCGAGACAATCATGAGAAAGTATTTCTGGCAGGAGGCGGTTTGGGGAAGATATTGCATGATATTCCAGTTGCTCTCAATCAACTCCTCTACTTCGTCCGTCTCTCCATCTCCGTCATCTTCCTCAGCATCCTCTTCTTCTTCATCCTCACTGCCATCCTCCTCTCCCTCTCCTTGTTTGCTTTTCTTCTGTTTGGCTCCATCCTAAAAATGACCATCATGTTGGGAGAATAAGTACTGCAATCGGCTTAGCGAAATACAATTTATAAAATTAAACAGAGCTTTCAGTTGGAATACCTCTCCATACAAGATGCTGGAGGGCAGTTTGCCCTTCACGCCTCCATTGTTAGCCGGATCCATCCAGAGCAGGAACTCCCAGCATCGTGAGAATGAGATAGACAAGGAGTGGAAGATTTCTCTGGAATGTATGCTAGAGGAGAAACAGAACAAGAGGTTTGACCTGTTTGATTTTACAGCACATATAACGTGATAAAAACTTTAAAACTGACTTT